CCGCCCTCATCATTTGAGGGCAAAGACGTTTCGGTACGCCCCACCGCCCGACGAAGGCGCTGGAAGGGCGTGCGCCCCATGTAGGCTAAGGCCGCCCGAAGGGTCGCCTCATCGCCAGAGGCGAGGCGGCGGAGGACGGCAGCAGCGGATGCGATGTTGTCGGAGGCCGCCATGGCACAGGCGGTTAGGACAACAAAGTAGGGGGCACACAAAAAGGCGGTTCGAGCAATCAGGCTGCGGTGCGCGCCCGATTGCTCCATGTTCATGCGCACACAAGTGTGCTACAAAACAAAAGCGCAGCATTGATAGCAGCTGGTGATAGTAAACGCGTGGCACTAATCGGGACGGGATGCCTGCATGTGTATTGGAGTTGGGGGCTCTGAGCCCAAAAACAGACACTCATGCTTCATCTCAAGCGTGGCTTGGCTTTGCGGAGGTGAAAAACACAGGCAGCATACGCACATCCTTGCCTGGCGCTGTCACCAAGCCTGCAACTTGCTGCCGCTCACTGCTGAGACTTCACACTACATGACATGCGATGCATTGCCGCACGGCTGCCCACGACTCTTCCCAACGCTGAATCCCTGGAAGGTTACTCTAAGTGGACTGGCTTTAAGACACCCCTGACTTCTCCCACGAAGTAAAGCGCTCAGTAAGCCACTCATGCCACCCTCAACCAACCATTTCCTGCGCGCTGCTCGTGTCCTCAAATCCATTCCACATCCGACATATCCGACCTGTGCGCCAAGTGCATGCGGCCTGGCCTGGCAGAGGACAGCGTCTTGTTGGAAGCAACTCCGCTGCAGCCACAAGTGGCTGCAGTCAGAGTCGGCCTCAAGCCCATGATGTTTGTGAGATGCACAACACATGACAACACACTCGGGTCTAGGGAACAAACATGAACCTTCCCATGAAACCGTTCTCCTTGACGTCGTGATTGAGACAACTCGGTGCAATGTTCTCCTTGGCCAAGGATGCAGGCTGAGGTCAGGCAACATTCATAAGCCGACCCTTTGCACAACACTGAGGAGCCTTGTTGCCTCGTACTGCCAAGGGCGGTCGACCTGAATTCATCACATGCAAGCTGGCTCGCCACTCCAATCCCACCTTTTAGAATCTCTCGGCGCTTTCCACTTCTGAGCCACGATGAATGAAGTAGCTGCTGAAGCTGAATCAGATCTTATGCTAGCTCGCAGGTTCTCAAATAGTCTACGCCCGAAGGTGGCCATTTCTGCTGTGTTCTTTTGGGCCCCGAAAAAAAAATCATGTTGAAAGCAAGGAATGTGATAAAGCCTCAGAGAAAAAACACGATGTTGCTGAGCTCCGTCGTTGTTGTGAACTTTGGCTTTGAGCGATTAGGATTTCCGAGCAGCAGCTGTAGCATTTTGAACAGTGGATCCGGAAGCTACACCTTCCGATTGTCTTCGTTTACAAATGAGCGCGAATCTGCTGGCAAGCCCACACTTGCATTTCATACAAATCTGGCGCGCAACCAGCGCGGGTCTCGCGCTAACGGCTAACGGGTTCCTCAAAATTGAAACCTGGAACCAAGCTCATCCCAAGCAACTCGCTTCATTTCGAAGGAAATGTCAAGAAAAGTACTGTAGAGAACTATTGACTATTGCAAAATATTGAGAAGTAGAATCTGAGGAGATACGATGAAGATTACCTTGGATTACCCATGCTGCTCAATTCAAGTGTCCCGTGTTCCGTATTCCGCTAACTTGTCACTTGCTGATAATGGCCAACCACCTTCTTTGACATCAGATCCACATGACATTTGCAATGTCTTCATGGCGAGGAGACGTTGATGATGTTGATGATGATGATGATGATGATGTATGAGAGTAATGGTGGTGGTGGTGATGATGACGATGACTTTTGCCGAGCCTTGTTGGCATCTGCCCGGTGTGTTCGGTATGGCGTTGGCTAGAGGCGACAACCTTGGGCAAAGCGTCAGGAGGCTCTTACCGTCCCTTGACGTCTTTCTAACATTGCGGTCTCACCATACCATCCCAGTGGGGTTGGCAGAAGCCTTATCCTTGCCTGGAGTTGGTGCGCTCACTATGTATCTATGCGTGACGGTACTCACCCCACTCTTTGTTCCGATGGCTGCTTTTGCGGCAAACTTGAGGACGTGCTAAGTCTTGTACATGAGCCACACTGAGGGCTCGGCGCTGGCTGGCGCGCAGAGGTAGGTGTCAGCCCTGGAGAACACCCAGGAACTATTCAGCTGGCGAAATCATTTGTGTGCGCCAATGCTCCGTAACAACAAGTCTGCAGCATGCAAAATGTGCAGATCATCCCTGAGGACAACACCGGCGTAATTCAAGCAGGCTGCCTCGAGCCGGAGATGCTTAAGACTCATCCAAGTCTTCAATCCACAATACCAAAAATCATTGTGCCCAAAGATCATGCCTGCATTCGTGGCGATGCAGAGCAGTGAGTAACACTGTCCGGCATCAGCCTGTCTTAGATCAACGCACCCAAACAAACCAGTGAGCCTCTCAAGATTTCCAGGACTCTTACGGCGGCACGCGGCTGGAACGAAACCAGGAAGAGTTCTCGGCGGCCGTGCACAACACGGTCTAGATCATATGCAGGCATGTTAGGCCAGCTCATTTCATCTGACAACAGCACCTTATGCTGCGAGACCCTCTCATTTGTGAAGTCACAAATGTTGAGCAGGCGGCGCTGTATAGCTTTGCTGTGAGCTAGAAGCCAATATCATCATTAACCCTGAGAAGTCTTACAGTAAAGTCATCCAGTGAAATTACATCATCCAGCACACACATGCGAACACCCGACCGACATATCACGTGCCGTTCTAGCTTGGGACATTGCTGTTAATTGATTCTTACGAGTAGCATATATATATATATATGTGTGTGTGTGTATAGTACCATCCCTCAGAGCCGCTTTTGGACGTTAATCTGAAGCCCAGCGGCTGGCAGCATGCTTCGTGCTCTTTAACAAATTACTTACGTGACGACACAAGCGGCAGGACCGGTAGGAACTGGCATTAGCACATGGAGGTGGTAAGCCGTCGAGGATATGACAGGACTGTGACAGGGGATACACAGGATATCACAGGATCAGCATGCTGGACCATGTTTCTGCGGCTAGTGAATACATTCTCATTATACGTTTTTGTTTGCCCTGTGGAAAGCCAAATCGACACCCCGCCAACTGACTGACCAGATGCCGTTCCACTATCCACGGAACCCCGCGCAAGGTCTGTGTGGACCCACGCTTCTTTGTTCGGCACCCCCTGGGCTGGCTTGCTGCAGTCCAATGTTGCTGCGTTCAGGCGATTCAGTGCTTGTGCAAAGGCGCATCACAAGAAATGGTCCGTTTACTGCGTGCCAGCTCTCTGAAGAAAACCGGAGAGGGCCACCGCACCTGTATGCAACTGTCATCTTAGCGTGCATGACGCTGCTAGCTTGTGGCACGCTTTATCTGCAGTTGACCCGCAGCCGGATCCTACGATACGTGTCTGTCTGCACTTTGCCTTGGTTGCAGAGTGCCGGTGAGGTCTAGGCTTCATTCACAATCTTGAAAGTCCCTCTGGATAACACATGCACGTTGAAGGTGCTCAAAGCTTGAAGCAAATGAAGGCTTTCCAGAAAACAAGCCAGTTGCTGTTATTTGAATCAGAGTGTCAGCCTGATAGGTTCACTTGGCTCCTCTACTCATAGCCCTGTGACGATCACAAGTCATGATCTCTGCGAATTAGTGAGACAGAACGAGCCTTGATCCTTGACCGACGTCAATCAGAGAGCTAGGGCCACTGCGAGAATGTCTTCAAGGCTAGGTCTCTTCCTGTCATTGAACAAATTGAACATGAAGATTTGAGCCTCTGCAACAGCTTGCTACTTTCTGAGCTTGATGCCCGGGATCGGTCTGCAAAATGCGACCTATCAGATCCTGCCAAAGTAGCAAGGACACAGTTTACATCGCAACGGATGCCATGGCCAGCTGCTCACCCCCTCTACTATTATGCCCCGAACGCTCGCTTCCAATACAGCCTGTGCAATTTCGGTCCATCATATCTCAGTCACTTTCTCAGCAGTCCATGGTCCCCATGCATATAAACATGGGGTAGAAACACACGAGAAAAAGCATGTCAGGAAATGAGGAGAAGGCATTTCTTATCAACAAACTCAGCCAGAAGCTAGAATAAATGAGCAGATCTGACAAGCAAGCCTGCTGTTCGTGTTCGGAAGGTGTTGCGGAATTCAGGAATTCTATTCAGGAACACTGCAGCGGGAACGCGTTAAATCAAGAGTCATACTAACGCCTAGATAGTGCCCTTGCAACATACTGCAGCGAGTAGGTTCGGCCATCGCACCAGTCGGATATGGTGGGATGGGTGAAGCTTACCTAGCCGGCATTGATTGTTGACGCTGCTTTCCTGTTTTCTGCGAATACCTCCTTTTGGGCCTCTCATGTGGATATGCTAGTCCTCAAAACATGTGCCAGCACCACACCACTGGGAATACTGTGGATCCACTTCCGGAGCAAAAATCAAAAGAACCTTGCCCAAATTCTGCGTTACAACTGTTCTCAATGTAGGCATTGCCAGCAACAGTAGAGATAGGATTAGCTAAAACGAGCATTGTAGCACTGTGTCCCGGTACAGCAATGTCTGCGCAATGAGAACTTCAGATGTTCTATGTACACGATTCATCAAAGCAGCTCAGGGGCGCAGCCCCTACTGCAGTTCCTAAGGAGCCACCCCCATATCTGCCTGTGCAAGTACCAAACGGGGTTTCTCCAGTAGTTAATAGTGCAAGGGCCGTGGGCTGTCCACTTGGCGAACATGCTGCGATGCCGAACCCGAGAACTGACCTTCCCCATCCCTCCCGCTTGCCGTCGCTTACATCTTTCTTGTGCGGCTCATGGTGTCGGATGCTTATGCTCTTGCAGCACATGTCATGATGATTTCAACAACCCCTTTCCATCACTTTCCCTGCTCAGCTGCCGAACTGTGCATGCACGACAACCAAGCAGCACAAATGGGCAGCCCAGAATATGGCTAGGATTACTAGGCAATATCGCGCTCCTTGGCCTGTGGCGAGATCCGCACGGAATCTGGGAAGCTGTACTGGTTAATCCGTATCCGCTTGTACCTCTGAGGGAAATGAGGAGGGAATGTCTCCGGGTGTCTTAGAGACTGCTGGACATTGCTGGACCATGTCAGGGTCGGTTTACGTTTGTGCTTGGCAATGGTGAGCAACGTGAGCAACCATGGATGAAGCGGAAGACATCTCAAGACTACTGCTACATATTGCTACTTGTTCTACAGCACCAGCATGCACCAGCGAAACCCTGGTGGCGTTGTTACCGGAACGATTGCACCTCACTCACTCGGCCACTCGATGCCAGCTCGACCCCATCTGCTCCATTCAACCCCTTTCCTTCCGGCGGATTTGCTCCAAGCCCATACATCGTGCCTGTCAGATGCTGCCTGTGAGATGCACAAAGCAGAAGTTCAGCGCACAAGATGTCGCACAGCAGCAGTACGCACGACAGTCTCTGCACCCCAACGGAGAGAGGGAGTGAGAGAAAGAAAGTGACAGAGAGAGAGCAAGCGAGCGAGCCAAAGCCAGAGAGAGAGAGAGATCCACAGAGAGATCGAGAGGGCGAAAGGGAGGGAGACAGAGACAGAGATTTGGCTTACCTAGGCGGCAGTGTCAAAGGAAATCGGCTGTTTCCACGTTGTCCTACGCCTCGAACTGAACAAAGGAGACCAGTGACCTTCTATGACCTTTTCTTAGCGTTCTATGTTCTGTCAGCTGTCTCGTAGACTTCATGCACTGTGGTCTCAACCAACGCGCTGAGTGGGTGCCCATACAGACATGATTCACATGATTCTGCCATGCGCACGTAGTCTTCACGTCGGACGTCTCAAATGGTGGGCGGCCGATAACCATCGTGTAGATGATTACGCCCAAAGACCAAATGTCGACCTGGCCAAACATTTATTGATGTGCTCTTGACGACCAGCTTGCGGGCCTCAAAGGAATGACCATACTTACCTTCCAAGATTTCCGGCGCAATGTAGTTTGGAGTACCTGCAGTCGTCTTGCAGTGGACTTTTACGTTGAGATCAATGCGAATTGTGGGAGCAGCATTGCGGATGCCAAACTTCACGCCGGCACATATGGCATGAAACCACGTGTAACTGCGTAGCTTGTCTTTATCAATGATTGATTCAGGCAAGCTGCCACAGATGGTTCGCTTTCTTTCGCCATCGTACTCAAGTTGTGCTGCTAGGCCAAAGTCGCCAACCTTGCACAGCAGCTGCAGCTGCGATCAACGCTCACTCAGTGTGACAAGCTACTTGAAGAATCTATAGAAGTATGGAACTATTGAAAGTCCTTCAGGCGCATCGCGTGGTCGAGAAAGAGATTCCCCAACCTAGGATCACGAACGGAGGCCAAGTTGCGAAGCTTTGTAGTTTGAGGCCTGCGGATGCCGATGCCGTCCTTCAGCTCCGCACTTCAGATCGCGGTGAATGACTCGTCGTCGATGCAAGTACTGCAGGGCGACTATGAGCTCGTAGACGTAAAAGATGGCCTGCAGAAGCGTGCAAAACAGGTACGAGTCTTGCACGCGGCCTATGCACTTCACCAGTGACCTGGCCTCCGGCTCTGCAAGTCTCTTGGTGGGACGACGACGCATGAATTCGTTCAGGGTCTGGTTTGGACCTTGCTTCTTCATACCTTCTACACTTCAAGAATATCGTAGCGACTTCAGTGACTTCTCTTAGCTCCTGGCAAAGCTCCAGCATGATGTAAACATGATCGGAATCCTGAAATACTACGTTGGCTGTGCGACAGCGCCATGAAAAACTGCGCACCGGCAGTACCCACTCCGTCCTCGAAGTAGTCATAAAACTTCACAACCTGACAACACCGCAGTCAGTGACTGTTCTGCAGAACATGCCTCCTAGGCTTCATGAGCATACGCATCATACGCCAGCCTTATCATGGCTGAGCTCGCGATGGATTGCGATCTCAGACCTCACATTCAGGTGCACAAAAACTGCATTGACAGCACGACATGGAGTTGCCAAATGCTGGCACGTTAAGGACGGCGCCTGAGCTTGGCGTGGGCTCGAGGCTTCGTGATCGACGCCTTCGAGACTATCTTGGCCTGGAGATCAACCAAGTACAACTTAGAAGAATGAGCTTCACAGCTTTGAGAACAGCGCCGCAAAGATCTCCTTGGTCTCCAGATCTTGGACTTCGTAGCACTTTGCAAAGCCACCCTCGAGAGAGCAACACAGAGCAACCAGATTTGCAAGCAACTGGAGTCCTAACTGGAGTGCAGACATGCAGTGCCCGAATGTGCCCACGTCTGCCCGCCTTGCCCAGAAACCTTCCTTTCTGATATCTGGCAGGAAGACCCGATCTGGCAATGGCCAAGACATGGCAGACAGTTGTTCGGAAACACTCCGAATTGTTGCGTCGCATAACATACCAGCTCAGCAGAATGGACATTGCATGACATTGCAATGCGGGCACTAAGTCGCGATAAAAGTTGAATTCAAGCTAAGTTTGTGAAGTTGACGTAGCTTTGGAGGTGTGCGATGCACTTGAAGTCGCGCGGAAAGCACATGGCTCGTTGCAGCGAAGGGGATGTCCACCCTGTATTGCATGGGTCCTGCGTTTCAACACTCTACCATTTCTCAAGGTGACTCTGTTGGAATGCGGGCTAGCTGCAAAGCCTATTTGTTAATTTGACGTCATCCCTGCGCTTGCGCTCACGTTCTTCCGGAGCGCGTATGGGAGCAGATATATACGCCACAGCACGTCTTGTCTATCGCTGCTTGGCCATTGCCACCACCTCAGCATACCTCAGCCAGGATTAAGCTGAAAAGCATGAGCTCAGGTTTGGCATGTTTGCGTGACGCTGCATCAGGGAAAATGTGCATCACTGGGGGAATTATACATCACGGGATGCAAATACCCAAGGAGACGCTGTGTTTTGAAGAAACGGAAAAAAGGTGTGAAATGCTGCTTATGTAGCAGACGCCAACGTGTGGAGTACGTTTCACATGCGTTTTGGTGACCCTACATCAGCAAATCCCCAAGGAGACCCTGTGTTTGGAAGAGCCGGAAAGAGTGCGCAAACATGTCGCCTAGTCGGGGATTTTGCATCAGGAGCCTGAGGGAAATCCCGTCAATAATAGGGGACTTTGCAACAGAAACCCGATTGAAAACCTGCATGCAAAAGGGGGATAGCAACGCTAATCGGCCGCAGGATGTCATGCTAAAAGCACAGACGCTGTCATCAACAGCATTTCTCTATTATGTTGTTAAGCAATGGCCTGGCCCAAGACATGGCTTCCCCAAGTAGGCGCTCAGTCGATGGATAAAAAACCGGACCGATGTAAGATAACCCCACCACTCGTAGGTCAAGAGGTGTGGTCGTGCAGGATCCCTTTTAAATATTTCATAACAAACCCACCCAGGCGCAAAATCAAAAACCAAACAGACGTACGCACGCAACCTTGGGTTCAAGATTGTTCAAGAGTCACAAGTTCCAGCAGGACAGCATTTTGGCGAGTCCTGCAAACTTGAATGCCTTGAATTGATTGTTTGGCTGCCTACTAAGCTCGCAAGGCCTCCCGCGGCAGGACCTGTCTTCTATGATCTCCAGGTTGTGGAGGTCGCCATGCGATCTGCTTCCGCCATACCTGGGCAACCACAGTCCGGTCTGCCGGCTTGGTCACTGCAGTACGACCAGGATGGCGGCACTCCAGTTCTCATTGCAGGTGGGCATGAATTAACTTGAGCCAAAGCGAGGTACGATGACAAATGGCGTGCCCAGCAAGGCATGTTTGCAGCGAAAGCTAAGCGAGCAGCCTTGCATCGATTATCGCAGCAAGCATCCCTATGACATCTGTGGAGAGGTGGCTCTTTTGCACCGACCAGTCGAACAAGTGCAGCGGCAGAATCTTAACGGACTGGAGTCGCAGAGTCGCAGCGCAGCAGGCCGAAGCCAAGGCTTCAGCCGAACCGCTCAAGCAGCGTTTGCGGTCGAGGGCCGCGAGCAGAAGCAGCCTCAAAGCCATGTAAATGTGAGAGCAAGCTCTCTTCGTGCATGTGGTCATGTAGACACTAACTACAAAGAAGGCATCAAAATTTATCAAACTCGAAACTGGCTGAGGCCTTCTTTGGGTCTGGTCCTGCACCTTACGGTGGCACACGCATGCCCCATCTGTCTTTGCAAGAATTTCTATGCTTATCGCTCAGGTTAAGGCCACTGGATCGAGGAGGACTTCGAAGTGGCGGGCTGCTGCTTGGTCTCAGCGCTCGATAACTATCAGCTGCTTTTCCCCTGCGCGATCACGGGCCTGTACCTCATGCATTTGAGGCATGGGCGATTCTTTCCGCCTTCTTGTGCGACTTCTGCTCCTCTTGCCATGCATTTGATAGATGTGCAGTTGAGAAATCAGCAGAAATGTGCCTGCGCCCCTTCATGCCACGCTTGTGAGCCATGCTGCCCACTGAGGGTGGATACCTGCTCGTAACATGCCGAGACCGCGCTCTTTGGCCTTTGGCATTGCAAACACCAACACGCTGCTCAAACCGGGAGGGCTTGCTCCGGGTCCCTGATTGGAAGGCCATTCCGCATGTCTTTGAGCATCAGCATGACCTCAGCAATTGGTCAGATGGATTTCAGAAAGATCGTGCGTATGTGCTTGTCCAGAGTTGATCTCGTCCTCATATGTCCTTATTCCTCCCATATCCTGGCATCATTGTCTACATTGCGGGGGATATCGCTGTGTCATGAATAATTATCTCCTGGTACTTCAAGAGTTTGTAGTTGCGCTCATACCCTCACCCAGACTCAGGAAAAACTGTCTGAGCTCCTTGGGCATTGGATGGCATTGGTTCTTCTCGAAATTTAACGGTTTTACGAAAGTGGCTTGTCAGGGGGGGGGATGGGATCCAGCAAAGTGATCCCCTTGCCGAGCCATTTCATCTTCTTGCTCCCCTCATCTTCCCTTGCAATCCAGCAGGACCCAACTCTGCAGACACAACAGGCTCATAATGCTAAGGTGTGAAGTATGCACAGATGGCACGGGATGATGTGGGTGGATCCCAGGCTTCTTGGGGTGTCCAGGCTGCAGGCTTTAGATGGTTTACAGTGCAGGATATTCAACCGGATTTGAGATGCTCGACCGTACTAGCTCTGATAGCTTACCTCGGCTGCTAGATCCAGGCCCCCCCCCAAGGCGCCCCCCTCCAGCCACCTGCCACCACACCCCAAGCCTCGCCCAACATACTCGCTTTGCGGCTGCCAAGGCGGACGCGCGCCAGCGCTTGCGATTTATACTTCTCTCTATGACCCGCCTAGCTGAGGGCATGCCCATGTCAATCACAACAGCTTTCACGGTGTTAGCAAGGAATGGGGAATTGGGACAAGCCGTGCATCCTATTCCTCCATTCCGATGCACTTTCAAGCTGGAGCTACTACGGCTACTGGCACCAATGTGCCCTCCGCTGAAGGACAAAATAGTTTTCACAGGCATGGGGGTGGCACAGAGAACAGAACTCTTTGCTTTTTGCTGAGCAGCATCAACTCTCACGTGGCATTGCTCCTTAAACTTCAGCCAATTCTTGGGATTAGGGGTCAAGGAAAAAGCAAGCCCCAAACTGAATTAAATCAAACCCAGGAAACTGCCTGGTGGCCTGAACCTCATCTCTTACAAACGCAAGTTTTTCGGGGTGACGGTTACACAACCCGGCCTTTTTGACTTTTCAATGGGTAGCCTGTCAAGGCACATCCATCCATCGTTATGTAAATTGCATGCCAATGGCTGCCAGTTCCAGCGAATAATGGCCTTTACGTACTACTGCCTACTGTAGTCGGCAGGTACATATTGGGACACCCTTTTCTGCACACTGCAAGCCTGCTGGAGCCTCAATTTGTCTGTTTTATTTTGACCTGCAGCGGACGGGAGCTCATGTGAGCTCCTGACTAACGATGAAGGCTTGTTTGACAGCTGCAGATGCTTCTGTATCTGCCTCGGTACGCAGAAACTTTCCAGTGCAGGCCACCGCCACCACTCGCTCAAAGCTAGAACATGGCTGAAACAGGTCAAGGCCTGAGATCCCTCTTGCGGTCATCTCTTCTGGAAAGCACTTCTGCCAGTTTTGCTGCAGCCTGATTAGCAGAATCTTCGCCAGCGTCATCAAACTTCTGAGAAAGTTCTCCTGCGCATCCAAGCTGAACTTTTTGGCGAGCTCCTCGACCTCTCGCTCAATGGGGTTCGTGAGTCAGTTCAAAACGAAACGTGTGTTCCGAGGTGCCAACATCTTTGTCCGGTGTGAGCGTGCCGCGGAATATGCCATCCTCCTACATATTACAGGAATTGCATGTCACGTCGGCCTGTAATCCCGCCCATTTGCCGCTCATGCCATCTCGAAGTGCCACGCATCCAGTGTTGGCGGCAACTTCAACCGAAAAGCATCTGGCTTCTGGCTGGGAGCGGGGCCATCTCCCGGAGCTTCACACGGAGTAAGCCAGCCGGGTTCCTGCATGCACAAAATTCATGGCACTGCTGTACACTTACAAAACAATCAACCATATAAACCCTTACATGACATAATGCCTGAGCAAAGATCCTTGCTGTCTTAGCTAAGAAAGTACCCACCATGCTGTACAAGGAAGATGCGGACACAAAAGCTGTCGGTTGCTGCCCCAGAGCAATATCAAAGAGCTCAAACTGAAAAGCCTCATTGGCAAGGCTGGGACAAATTGCCTGAAGATTCCAGCACTGCACTGGTAGCGAGCTTGCGTAGCTGCAGTTTAGCAACCCAACCCCTACCTGTATGACACATTTGCGGGACCACCCCGTCTAGCCTTTCGCGGGTGGACGCGGCTGGTAACCATCCCCTCCAAGTCCTTTGCTCCACTTGGGTTGTTTGCGTCACTGTGGCGAGACCACCTTGCTTTCTTCTCCGATTCAACGGGCCCAAGTGGTACACGTTGGTCAGCTTTCGCAAAGAGAGGAAGGAGAAGAAGAGAGAGGCAAACAGAGAATCTTCTTGGCACCTTTGCTGTGCTTGCAGATGCCTTGAAGGAAAAGCGGCTGGGCAGCCCGGGTGTCCGACTTATTCTGGTTGAGCCTTGTGCTTTCGAAGACTTTTCGAAGCAATGCAGGATGTTGCAAGTGTATACGATAAAACTGGACACGGGTGCATCTGATCACGACCCAGTGCAGCCCCCGGCCTTGCACCTCCGAGGATTTCCCAGAGGGCATGCAAATCATCTTTGCAGGTGGCGCTTCGCTTCTTCATCTGGCCAGCCAGGTCCCTTCAGGGGGAGACGAATGAGTTGGCCAAAGTTTAGCTGCTACGAGTTGCTCAAGCACCTAAAACAGCCCGAGCAATATCTGCAGCTTGCAATATTCTTGCATGCGCTGAAGCAATGCTCACAGTTGATGGCACTATATTATGTGAAAGGCACAAATCGCATGTTTTCGCCCAGGTGAGCACGGTGAAGCTGCTGGGCTATCTGCCGCGCGATCATGCACTTGTCATCGATTTGCTCGTCTTCCTCCTTTTTAGCATTCTGATCCTCGATCGCCAAGCAAGCTGGGCATGGGCTTCTGAGACCTTGGTCCCCATACGATCCACCTGTTCAGCCGAAATATTTTCGCCGAAATCCCTTGCAACTCCGCTCTTCTTCGCTTCCTTCTTGCAGGCAGCAAGCTCCTGCGACATCTCCTTCGCCTTCTCGTGCATGTATGGAGCTTCGAGGAATGTAGACAAGCTGCTGAACTCGCCGCTGTCCAGGAGCTTATGCTCGTGCAACACCGCCTGGAGAAACGCGCAATTCCTGCGAATCGCTTGCATGTCAGAGTCAGTCAGCTTCTCCATGACGCCTTTACGCCGTGGAGGGCGCATGTCTGAGCTTGCTGCCGTGGTCAAAAGCAGCTCTCGGCTTGTGGCGGCCTCCTGGTCCACCTCCTTGGCTCCATCTCCAACCATGAGCTCCTTGAACGTGAGTCCTCGGAAGGCCCCCCCTGCCCCTGGGCACTTCTGGGCATTATAGCCACTGCAAGCCAGCCACAATGTTCCGGTCTCACGGCCTTTGCGCAACACTACGGCGTACTTCTTGCAAACATCACACATAATATCTGGTAGTACCTTGTTTTTGACAGCTTGCTTCT